ACCAAAACCAGTTCTGTCAGATGAGTTTTTTTCGCGTAATAATTTTGATAAATTTAGAGAAAATCCAAAATTTCAGCAATATTTTTTAAAATTTCAGCTGCGGCCCATGCATATGGCCATAGTTCGATCGTCATCGAAAATTCGTAGCCTGCTAACCTCATATACATGGAAAACCCAACCCGCCCAAGTTTGACAACTCAAATGTATATTTTATTTATACCAGGCACTCGATCACATCAATTTGTTCAGTGAGTAAAGCCGTTTACATTGTATAAAGAGAATACTATGTTATTCACTGACTGATTTAAGGACTTTTCTATTTTACACAGAAATTACTTTTAAGCACGTTAATTTGTGTTAATATATAACAAAACGAATTTACATGATTTTGGGTTTTTATTTTGTTAGTAAATCTTTGATCGCTTTTCCGGAAGAAGGTCGACTAATCTGAGTGTTAAGGGCGGGGCAAATTACGAACAATGAAAGGCGCTTTTATGTCTTTTATAACTGAAGTGATTCATAGAAAAAACAGACATTTGAGATCCAGATTATGCTTCTTCAAGCGTATGACTTGTCTGGGCGCGTACTCACCCGTTTTGTAGAATTGTTTAGTCTATGTTTGACCACCAATAACGTGGCAACGAGGATCAGTTTTTTCTTATCGAAACGTGACTTGCAAAAACACCCAAGCTCATACCAAGCTATGTAATTTTATCGTTATGATCATTTGGAGTGAGGAAAAAAGACAAATGGATAAAAGCCGTGCAATTTGTGAACTGATAAACTGTCAAGAGGGTTAGCTTTCTCAGCCATTTTAGAAAACAACAACAACAAAAAGACTGTTTTCGGNACCAAAACCAGTTCTGTCAGATGAGTTTTTTTCGCGTAATAATTTTGATAAATTTAGAGAAAATCCAAAACTTCGGCAATATTTTTTAAAATTTCAGCTGCGGCCCATGGCCATAATTCGATCGTCATCGAAAATTCGTAGCCTGCTAACCTCATATACATGAAAAACCCAACCCGCCCAAGTTTGACAACTCAAATGTATATTTTATTTATACCAGGCACTCGATCACTTCAATTTGTTCAGTGAGTAAAGCCGTTTACATTGTATAAAGAGAATACTATGTTATTCACTGACTGATTTAAGGACTTTTGTATTTTACACAGAAATTACTTTTAAGCACGTTAATTTGTGTTAATATATAACAAAACGAATTTACATGTTTTTGGGTTTTTCTTTTGTTCGGAAATCTTTGATCGCGTTTCCGGAAGAAGGCCGACTAATCTGTGTCAAGGGCGGGACAAATTACGAACAATGAAAGGCGCTTTTATAACTGAAATGATTCATAGAATAAAAAGGCATTTGAGATCCAGATTATGCTTTTTCAAGCGTATGACTTGTCTGGGCGCGTACTCACCCGTTTTGTAGAATTGTTTGGTCTATGTTTGACCACCAATAACGTGGCAACGAGGATCAGTTTTTTCTTATCGAAACGTGACTTGCAAAAACACCCAAGCTCATACCAGGCTATGTAATTTCATCGTTATGATCATTTGGAGTGAGGAAATAAAAGACAAATGGATAAAAGCCGTGCAATTTGTGAACTGATAAACTGTCAAGAGGGTTAACTTTCTCAGCCATTTTAGAAAACAACAACAACAACAAAAAGACTGTTTTCGGTCTACTCTCTCTTGGCTTATAGAGATCTAAATTATTCATAAAACATAAACATGGCTGAACTGAGCTAACAATGGTACACATGTTACATGCAATACCAGACCAGGATCGTGAAAAAAATATACCGTACAGAGCAGGTTCAGTTCTCGACCGTTTTATTTGAAAATATTGTTTCTGCCGTTTCCATAATAAGTCTTAAGTGATGAATTATTAAATATTTTTGAACGAGTATCACACTTCAAGAATCAAGAGCACTACCTTTCTATCGCTACCGTTTCTAAAAAAATGATTCAATTTGACATAGAAGTTGTGAAATGATTCCAGAAGAGCCCTTCATCGAAGTAAATTTGGTGCCGGTTGAATTGGAAGCTAAAATCATTACTGTATAGTCGGTTTGTGGTATTTTTTAACATCGCAGATTGCAACTTGATTACTGGAACATTTTGAGATGATTTTAGCAGATAGGTGTTGTAAATTATACAAATGGGAATGACACTCTGAGGCGACGAAACGTTGTAAAGAAAAGTAATGTTTTAGTGTATTTTTTTTTTAAGAAAGGTCTTTTCGATGCTTCTATTGAATCAGCTTTTCAAGCTTTTCGTATTAACTGGTCGATAAAAATTTACATTTTGAGTCATTTACTATCGTCAGTAATAACTTCATAAAATGGGTGGATGGAGTAACCCAAACACAACTGATGGTTTAATTTTCAGAAATAGTTAACGAAAGAAGAAAAATCAGGATTGACCTTGTCATGGGTGGAAATTACAGTTTTTCTGTAAAAAAAAAAGAAATTTAATGTATGAATAATCAGTGTAAAAACAGAGGGTGAGAAAATTTGAAGAAAAGATCATGGCTTTTTGTGAAATCACATGATTCGGTTTGTTTCA